TGATGGGGAAACTGAGACTCAGGGAACCCCAACCCTCTCCTCAGTATATCCAGCTTGAGGAGCTAAGGACAAGCCTAGGAGGTCCTGAATCCTCACCCTGCAGGATTCCACAGGGGCCAGGAGCCAGCTCTTCCTTGGCCTCCTGCCGCTCTGGCCTCTCATCTATCCCAGGGCCTTGGCTTCTGCTGCTCCTCTTCCCCGGAGCTCTGTCCCTCTGCTGTCCTCACACTCTCTCCTCCTTATCCCTGATATATGGATCCCTCTTTTTTTGTAGCTTCACCCTCTGTGGTTTCAATGTCCCAAGGTGACAGAAGTCCAAGAGTATCAAGGGAAAGATCCCAGAAAGAAACAATATATGTGTTGTCAATCACACGTCCTTCTGGGTGGCCTGAAATCCCAGGCCATCGGCTCTGTCCCTCGGTCCAGCGTGTACACCCAGTGAACACTCCCAGCCCATTAGGTAGTGGTCATTTTGGTTACTAGATCAACTCTCATATTATCATGGAGCATCTCCCATTTATCATGTTTCTCCGCAGCTGAGGATGTGCCCCTGCTCATTTGACTTAATAATGGTCTCAATGTACAGGAGTAGTATCGCTGCCAACTTTATATTGTTGTAATTGTTCTATTTCACTATGTCCTTCCTCTCTCACTGGGCCTAATGTATAAACTAAACTGTACTGTAAGCATGTATATGTAAGGAAAAATGTAGTATCTATGGGGCTGGGTACTCTTCTTGGTTTCAGGCATCTGCTAGGGTGTTGGAAGGTGACCCCTGAGGATAAGGCGGGAAACCGTGTGTCCTCAGAGCCCCTCCTGCCTCCCCCCCACCTTAGGACCCCATTTTAATGGCTTCATTGTCCACAGTTGCTACCTGCAGTTACTTGGTTTACTTATTAGTTTTTGAGGGTCTGCTGTGTTTCCTACCATCATCCCAATTACATATTTCTAGGTGCTCAAAATACTTGTAAGCGCCCAGATTTAGGAGAATTTCAAAGGGAAAACGCTTCTGTAGACTTGGGGCTCGTAACATCACCAGAGTTTGAGTTCTCTCTGCACACCTGCTCTCCTTCAGGGCTTCTGCCGGGCTCCCCATCTGTGTCCAGGCTGACAGGGTAGATCCTGTCTCTGATTCAATGAGAGGAAGACCCTCCTTTGTGCGGGCATCTCTTGCTGGAGCCCCGGAGTCCCATTTATCATGTTTCTCCGCAGCTGAGGATGTGCCTCTGCTCATCAAGCTGGACCGGGTGCCTTGCTGCCAGATGGAGCCAGGCTCTGGGTTTCACAAATACCAAGTGGCAGTGGTGTCTCTGCTCAGGAAATATCACTGGCCTGCAATGCCACAAACTTTAGCTCTGACCTTAACATCAGAGCTCACTCTTGACCTTACAGCTCTTGGCTCCCCTGACCTGGTGTGGCTCTGACTGGCTGATCACTGGCTTTAGAGAGCCCTAGGGTCAAGCAGGCACCTGGGAGCCTCCATATCCAGCCACAGGCTGGGAGCTGGTTACTGTTTGTTTTATGAGAAAAACAAACTGGGGCCTGTGTTGACAAGGCCAGGTGCTGGGGGAACTGGAATTCAGTGACTTTGTCTCTCTGATCAAGCTTTTAAGTGTGGCAGAAAAGTGGGAGTAGGCTGATTCTGATTCAAACAACACTGTACTTGGTAGGCAGGATAATGTCTTTTCCACTGTGTCCACGTTCTAATTCCTCATAGTCTGTGAATATGTTTGGTGGCATGGCTATGGGAATTAAGGGTTGCAGATGTCATTGAGGTTGCTGTAGAATCAGGAGAGCATCCTGGGTCATCCAGATGTGCCCAGTGGAACAGAAGTGTTCTTGGGGGTCGGAAGATGTCGGGCTCAGATGTTGGGACCAGAAATATGAGCCCTACCTCGGAACTTGTTGGAACCTCAGGCCCTCCCACAGAGCTTCGGAGTTCGACTCAGCCTTGAAGCAGGACCCAAGGGGGTGCAGGGGTGGGGCACATAACCTACCAGCAGAGGAAGCTGCCCCCAGCTCAGGCCCATGGTGTCAGGCAGGGATGTGGCTATTGTTACCAGGTCTCATTTTCCAAAAGACTTTAAAGCAAAATACTTGAAATTTTAAATATTTTGTAAAAGGATCACAGAGTTTTGCCCTTGAGTTATGAGCTTGCAACCCTGGAGACTTGGGATTCTGGTACTGGTTGGAACCGTGGGGAGGATGCATGGGGTTGAGCAATCGTGTTTCCTCCATCAATTCTCCAGTTGCAAAGCAAAGGAAGATGGTGATACCTGTCATTCCATTTCACATGCATGTTGGAGCAGCAGGTTTCATGCTCCCACACACCCCAGGCATCCATTTAAATAATTTTTATTATAGGGTAAAGTAAAAATGAACATCAAACACCTTATGCCTATGGTATCATGGGTATCAAAAACTAAAAATTGTAATACAATAGTCACGGGCCATATAATGACATTTCAGCTCACAACAGACTACACGTTCCAGAGCAGGCCTGGGAGATTATGATAATGCTGAAAAGCTCCCAGTGACCTCATAACTTTCCTAAAGGCAGAGGGACATGCATGACCTGTGTGTTGTGGGGATACTGGTGTAAACAACCCGTTTGGATAGGCTGAATGCACCAGTACTCACCGTTGTGTCATGGTCTCCTACAGTGCTCAGGATGGTCACGTGCTGTGCAGGTCTGGGACCTGTAATGGGCTCCACTGTTAAACTGAGGGGTGCAGTAGCTTATGGCCTGGATTTGTGCAGGTCCCACATTGCCCAGTGAGGTGCCGAACGATCTCTCAGGCTGGGTCCTGCTGTTCAACAAGGCACCACTGTACAAATACCGCCATGGATGATTCCCAGTGCCACTTAACTAGAATGATTGAATGTCACAGTCGCTGCCGATGTCTTGGAATGATGGTGACGCTCTGGAGGGGAACAGGGCTCTGAGTGCTGCGGCTCTCGAGCTCAACACGCTCAGGCTACCTGCGTTATCGTACCTGTCTCTACCCACATCACTGTGATTCTGTTCCCAGGGGACAGGTGGCATTGTCTGTCCTCACGTGGCACAAGTGCACGTCTGAGATGTGGTGTCTGCCTTCAAGCCAGGCACTTGATGTTCTGTGGCAGGCCAGGCACGGAGCCCTGCAGCTCGGCTCCCCTTGACCCTGTTCACCCCAGTGGCCCTGAACAAACTCCTAGGCTTGTGCAAATTTTATGATGACGATCAACAGAATGAAGACATAAATTTAAAAATTATTGTGTCTTGGATCCCTCAGAAGATGACTGCAGAGCCTCAGGGACTTGGAGCCCCAGTTTGAGAGACAGCAGGAATGAGAGAGAAGAAGGGGCTGACCTGTACCTAGGCTCCTGGCCCCCCACTGGGTCATGGCAGGCGAGGGTCCCACCACTCTGCCTCGATCTCCATGCTTAGAGAAGGAGATGGCATAGGTGTTTTGGGGACCAGGTGTAATATTATGAGAAGCACCTGGACTCGGACCATAGTAGAATTTTTATGGTGAAGATCAAATGCAAAAATGGAGGTAGAAGTATTTTCTCCACCCCCCTGCCTTATTTTAGCATAATTAATAAAAATTGTCTATACTTAAGGCCACAACTTGAAGTTTTGATACAGTATGTCTATGCTGGAAACAATGGCCAGAGTAGAGCTAATTAACTTATCTGTCACCTCACATAATCATTTATTTTTTGTGAAAACATTTAAATTCTACTCTTACGAATTTTAAACATAGAGTAATATTAATGGTAGCCACCGTCAGTCACTGTCAGTCTCCATGTCTGACCTATTTTGCATTCTTGAAACTTGGTATCCCTGGATCAACATCTCCCCACATCCCCACCCCAGTCCTGGGAGCCACCATACTCTACGAGAACCTCCACTTTTATGAGTCAAACATTTTGAGATCTCACAGCACTGTGTTTTTAAAAGTGGATCTTCTAGGATTTTCAGTACATGTCTTTAACTTTTCCCAATATACCTTTGGGTATTGCACTAGAATCTTATAAGATTGCACTTTGGTCCCATTCCATGTTATCATTTGCATTGTATCACTTCTAATGTGGTATAAATTCACAGTAGATTGCTGCTAATTTTATTTCACATGATTATATCTTAGATTAAGAAATGAGAAAAGACATTTTTATTTATCTGCTATTTATCATCTCCAGGGCACTTCCGTTCCTTTTAATTTCACTTTTCTTTTTCCTGAAGAACTTCCTGTAATATTGTTGAGAAAATATGCTGGTGGAGGTTTTGTGAAGAGTCTGATTTTATATTCAGTTTTGTAAACTGCTTTGAGTGAGTGCAGTTCTCTAGATTAACAGCTTTTTTTTTTGTTTTTTTCCTTTCCCAGTCCATAAAAATGGCACTCCATTGTTTCCTGGCTTGCATAGTTTCTAATGAGAAGTAGGCTGTGATTCTTACCCTTGGTCCTGAGTATGTCATGTCTGCAATATTGTGTATGCAATGTTCTGGTTTCTTTAAAGATTTTATATCTATGGTTAGCTTTCAGCAATATGGTTATGCTGTTTTTCTTTGTTCATGCTGCTTGGAGTTCTGTTAATTTTTTAAAAATATTTTTATTTGTACACGGACAGAATATCCTTGTTTGTTTGTTTATTTATTTATTTACTTATGTGGTGCCAGGATTGAACCCAGGGCCTCCTACATGCTAGGCAAATGCTCTACCACTAAGCCACAACCCCAGCCCAGCTCATTCTTGCATTTAGGAGTTTTCAGATTGGAAGACATTTGCCCACTCTTTCTTTAAGTATACGCTTGGTCCCTTCTACACCCCTCCTGACTCCCACCCGAGGAATCCTAGCTAGTACGTGTATATTAAACTCCTTGATATTGTGCCACAGTTAATATGGCATAAAACACTTCATTTCTCATTTTTTCCTTGCTTCATTTTGGATAATGCCTATTTCTGCTTCTATCTGCATATTGATCTTTTCCTCCTACAATGATAGTTTCATTTTAATCTCATTTAATATTCTTTTTGACCTGAAATGATCAGATTTTATTTGGCATGCCAATACAATTTATCCTGGTCACTCAATGTTCTTTTCAATTCAGATTTTGTAGATTTGACTTTCAAGTTTTCAATTTGGGTCTTTAACAGTCTTCCAGGTCTATCCTTGTCATGCTCATGTCATCTTTTACCATCTTAAACATATGCAGCATATTTATCATGGCTACTTTAATGTCCTTCCCTGCTGACTCTGTCAACTGTGCCATCTCTGATTCTATTGATTTTTCTCCTGGTCACTGATCAGACTTTCCTGCTTTTTTGCAAACGTAGTAGCTTTGGATTGAATGTCAAATATTGGAAAGTTCTTTTTTTTTTAATGGTGAATTTTCTTTTATTCCTTTATACAGTATATGTCTTTGTCCTGACATTTGTTAAGATACTTGAAATTAGTTGAATCCTTTTGAGGATTACTTTTAAGCTCTTTTTAAAGAAAGTTCCAAGGTGTCTTTAGTCTAGAGCTAATTTAGTCTCATTAATTAAGACAAAGCTCTTCTGAGAACCTCATGGAATGTCTTTGATATTATAAGGTCTTTTCACTTTGGCTTCTAGGAAGATGCATTCTTCCAATTTTGTGTGACAGCCAGGGATATTTCAGCCTGTTGTTTTGTGATGGTTAATTCCCCATCTTGGCTGGCTTTCTCTCATACCTTAGCAGAAAACGCTTGGTTAATACATTGAGAGACTTCTCTGCAGACATGCTGAGCTCTCTCTGCCATGCCAAATCCAGCTGTCTTGCTTTTTCCAACTCTGCACTTACTCTTCTTAACTCTGAAAAATTTCCAGGCTTTCTTTGAGTTCTCTCTCCCAGTTGTGCAGCCTGGAAACCACCTCCCAGCAGTGGGCTGGAGGAGCCGTGAGGATCCCTCATTTCCCTGTCCTCAAGAACTGCTGCTTCTTTTGCTGCATGTTGTCAATTTCTGAAAACAAAACAAAACAAAAAAAAGTTTTTAAATATGTATTTCCATGTTCATCTACTTGTTTAGGTGGGAACATACTCTAACATACTCTAGGTTAATAGCACACACACGCACACACATAGACACACAGACACACACACACACACACATAGACACACAGACACACACACACACACACACAATGCCTGGTCTGTCATTTTTGAAAGATACTTTCTTTAGGAGTGAAATTCTGGGTTGAGAAGATTTTTCTTTGGTTATGTTAAAAATGTCATCCCATGTCTTCAAGTTTGCATACTTTCCAGTTAAAATTTGCTTTATTTCTTTCCTCTGATATTTGGACGTAGTACTGTCTGTACCCCCTCCCAAATATTATTGCCTTCAATATTTTCTTTTGATCTTGGTTTTTAAAGAAGTTTGAATATGATGTGTTTAGGTAGGGGATTTTTCTTGGACAGAAAGACAAAAGGAGAATTTCTCCATTTTTTTTCCCTCTAGACTCTTGATATATAGCTTGGTTCATTTAATTTTTTAAATTTTTTGGAAAATTCTCAGCCATTATCTCTTTGATATTTTTTTGACTCTATTTTCTCTCCCTTCTTTTGAGATTCCAACTACACCCAGGGTTATGCAGGCACAGCTGGACTGCGGATACTTTAGGAAGGGATTAAAAAGAGGATGCCAGTGCCCAGGACATGCTACTACAGCAGTAGAGAAAGAGCAGGGAGTACCCAGGTGACCATGTCCGAGTGGAATGGCCCTGTGGGAGCAATGACCTTGTTGGAAGGGAGGACCCTCTTTGGCCCAATGGTTGCAATCAGCCTGTTCTTTGGTTAAGATCAGGTGGGCTGGGCCAGTCTCTGGAAGGAGGGGAACGCATGCACTGGGCTGCCTGGGTCAGTGTCTTGCAGTACCCAGCACTTAACAACTTGACTGCATTCCACTGAGTTCAGGTAAAGTTGTCTCATTGTTTATCAAGGTTCCATCGTGTGCTGTGTGGGCTACATATCCCTAAGTTGATTCTTAAAGATTAATGAATAGTCTACATATCCATGATTTATTTCTGTTCCTACTAACACCAGTGGACTTTCTTGAGCCTGTTAGTGTGTGCTTGGGGAGGAGTGGAGGGGCCTTTGCTGCTGTGGCCATTTTCTTCTTCCAGGCCTCAGTTGTCCTTGAAGGAATCCCTCCTCCTCGATCAGTCCTAGCAGGCATCGTATTGCCCATGTAATGCCTCCACTGATGGTTCCTGTCTTCCTAGGGCTTCTTACACTCCTCCCTCACCACCTTCCCACCACAGCCCCGGATTCTCTGGTGTGTGGACTGCCTGTCCATCTTTGTATGTGTGTGTGTGTGTCCAGATGTTTAACATTGGAACCCTTTTACACTTACCATTCGATCATGCTGTAGATTGTTTTTCAAAACTGTTTTCCTGAGCATGATATTTCTGAAGTCATTCTACGCTGCTGTGTGTAGATCCAGCTCATCTATTCTGACCATTTCAGATAATTCAAATATCTGTAGGTATAGTCCTAGGAAGATCCCTGATTGTACAAAACCCGGGAAAAAGAGCACATACATTTATGATTTGAATAGATCATGCCAAGGGGGTCAACTGAAGTGTGTCAGGTACCCGTTTTCCTTCAAAATTGGCTGTAGTAACTTGCAATCATAATACCCAGTGTTTGAGGGTTTCTATTTTTTTCATGTTTTTCCAAAGTAAGAATCATTGAATATTTTGCTAGATGAAAATGTTATTTTGTTGTCTTTTTGGCTCAAACTTATTTAACTGCCAATGTCTGAGGACACACTTTTGATGGCCATCCATTTATATTTTCTTTTTTTCTTTAAAGAGAGA